AATGAATTACTTAATTCTATATTTCATTCAATATATAATATTAGCATCGTTTTAGATGTAGGTTCAGTTATATGAATTTACATTTAAATGAATTTATCACATAATATTCACCAGTGTTGGTGAATATTATTACCATAACATAGTATCACTTAGATTGATGTTGTAGTATCAGTGATATCAAATAATATTATTCTCGATGAATTATGTAGTTAGAAATCTGATAAAATTATGAATTCAATGAAGTATGTGATTATAATAACTTTGACTTCTTAACAAATTTTTTAAGGCATGCCAAACAATAACTATAAATTGAACTCTTGAAAACCTTTTAAAACGAAAAAGTCTAAAAGAAGGAAAGACAAATTAAGATATAATTGTTCAAAAGAACTATTAAATGACTATATTTTTAAGTCCAAATAAATGTATAAAATACACTTATCGATTGTAATGTAAAAGAATCATTTCAAATTAAATAACATAAATTTGACCACAATAAATAATCATTTCAAATTAAATAATATAAAAGTGCCTATGAATTAGTTCTGGCTCAATGGCCGATTTAGTCAAAAGGAAATTTTCAAGAAATAAAGGGATTTGACTGTAAATCAGAAGCAAAATTACACTATATGGGTCATGCAGAAACTTGACGCGGCTTCGAGTACATGCAAAGCTCATTAGTTTATTTTATGATTTGTTTCTGAATTGTTTTTAACCATAAATTCACACAATAAAATATTCTACATGTATATTAAAAAAATTCTCACTTTTTCACATCATATTTTCCGAAAATTTAATATTCAAAACTCTTTTTTCTATAATAATGGTTGTCAAACCGACTTGAATTAGCAAACATTTACTTTACTCCTCATACATTTAGAAATGCCCTTATACGCCCTTCAGGGCATAATCCAGTGGTACAACGAATAGAAGTGAAATAGTCTCAATTTTGCTGACAGTCGCAGTGTGAGGGTTCGATTCCTGGAATATGAAATTTGACTCTTTGTGGATACCAGTGTATGAACAAGTTCTTGTTCTCTGATTTGTTGGGGCACGTCCTGCGATTTACCTCCCTAACGATGCTCCAGGGACGAGGCAGTGGAGGCCCTCAAGGTTGAGGTTCAACCTTTTTTTTAGAAATGCCCATTATACTCTAGATGAAATATATTATGTGCCTCATTATTTTTTATTATTTACATTTACGACCTAATTAATTAAATATTATAATTATATTCTTGATATAACCATATCAATTGCAACTTGACGAAGGGTTTCGGCAAATATTCTTATCAAATTAAATTCGATAGTCTTGGTTCGGCGCATTTATAATTTTTTGTTCAAAAGTCATTTATGTTTAAAAGCTGTTTTTAATGGCTTAACATCAATGATATTACGACATCAATTTAATGGCACTAAACGACATTAAATGAGTTAAATGAATCACATAATTTTATATTTCATTGAACATATAACATAAGAATAATGCTATCTAGTATCACTTATATTGATGTTGTAGTATCAGTGGTACTAAATAATATTATTCTCGATGAATTAGGTAGTTAGAAAGATAATAAAAAATTATGAATTCAATGAAATATGTGATTACAATAATTGACTTTAATCTTTGACTTTTTAACAAATTTTTAAGGCAAGCAAGCACTATAAATTGAATTCTTGAAAACATTTTAAAACGAGAAAGTCAAAAAGAAGGAAAGATAGGTACATCAGAGATGTTCTAAAATAATCCCACTTGCTCATATTTATGCTCCCGTTCGGTGTTCATTATTATTTAAAAAAGAAAAAAAAAAAAAAAAAAAAAAAAAAAAAGAGAGAGAGAGAGTTCTAAACAGTATTTTGAAGAGAACGTATAGTTAAAAGTAGAAAAAACTTTTGAATTTACATGCAGAATATTTTATTATATGAATTTGTGGTTGAAAATGATACTATAACGAAAAGAGTTTCAAAACAATGGACACCAAACATGAGCTATCTATTTGTATGTCCCATACTATGCCCTGTTTGGCCCCCATTTTTTGAAATGAAAGTAATTGGAATAGTATTTTTTTGAAAAATGAGTGGTTTAAAAAAAAAAGAAAATTTTTCGATTTATGTGTAATATTATTTTATGAAATATTGTTTAGTTGAAAATAGGATAAAGAAAAATGAAATGAAATTTAAAGGAGGCCAAACGGGGCATAATGTATAAGAATCTTTTCAAATTAAATAAGATAAAATTGACCACCTAAATAAATAGATAGTGGACAAGAAATAGAATAAATAAAAGTATGAGGGCATCAGCACAAATTAGTTGAAAAAGTCCTTCCAAATTATTGGTAAATGTGAAAAGGAAAGGTACCAAAAACACAACTATATATATAGACTCCAAGTTTCCCACTCTTTGAATGGGCTCAAATATTTGAGACATTTTCTAAACAAAAACATTTTTTCTTTTACTTTTTCTTACATATTCCTTCCTGACGGAGCAAAAGAGATGAGCAAATATACAGAGATTTTGGATGCATGTGTGAGAATCGCAGCAAGGTTTCATTCTCACTGTCCACAAACTGCACGGATGTACTACCACCCTCCATCGAGCCACCACCATAACGGAGTCTCCGGCCACAGCGCCGCCAGGGATGTGTCGACTCCGACGGGGCGTTTTGATTCCAAAGGTGTTGGGGTTGATACTACTGACTTTATTCTTTACACTATAGCTTGATATGTCGATTTTCCTTGTTAGAATTATTTTTTTTTTGACATACAATTGTAATTGGATTTTCTTTTTATTCCAAGATCATGAATTATATACCTTTAAGATTCTTATATTTCTCAAGTTCAGTGCAATTAGTGTGTGTTTTTAATTTATTTATGTACACAATTTGTTATGCTCTTTCATTTTCATTTACAAGAAGTTTGCATCCATATCATGCGGTTCTTTCCCATTACGGATGGTGAAGAATAAATAAAAATTCAAGAGGCAAATCAATTTTCGGTCAACCATAAATTTTGAGATCCTTATGTATAGATCCAAGAGAACATGGAAGGTAAAATAAAGTAAAAATTCGAAGGAGATAATTATTTGAAAATTTGACCCGTCTTATTTCTTCGATTTATTGTACTTATTTTTTATTATTCTTCGGAGATTCATATGCACTCAAATTAATTCTGTATTCTTAAGGCTTCTTGTATATTTTTTGCTTGACATGGAGTTTGACACTCTATTGTTTTCAAATGTTTACAAAAATGGAGTTGGCAAGAAAGTGCATTTTTTTAAAAAACGGTCCAATATAATGTCGTCACGTGGTACAATGTAAAATTTAATGTACTTGTAGCATGATTCATTCTAATTTAACAGCAAATATATTTGTAGACTGTTTTTATTGTAGTAACAAATCGGAGAATATATTTTTGCAAAATATGGCACAAGATATTTTATTATTTTCACAAGATTAAACTGAACAGCCTCATATGGCTCACGCAGCCGCGGGACAGCTAATTAATTAATTGGCGAGCACACCAGCCTTGTGACAGCTATTCTCAAATATTAAAACACCGTCAATTTTTTAAGCTGTAAGTCAAAGTTAGAAGCTTAGGTCAGTAGAGTCATGCTGACAGCACCTCACATGAGGGGTCCCATGATCATGGATGGAATGAGCTGTAAGTACTAAGCTCGTACAGCGTGAAGCAGGAAAACCCAAATTTTTAATCCCTAAAATCCTTTGGATTTTGATGTTGTTACGGGCCAAGAAAAATTAATAATAATAAAATAAAATAAAAGAAAAGTCAGAATACTTATCAAAATGACGTGGAGAGAAAATATTGAATGTGTATTTTTAAGCCGGTAAATGATAGAAAAATCGAATTGAAACCCAACATAATCAAATTGACCTATATTTTATTCAAATCTATTATTCTACTGTAGTTCCGTTTCTTTTGTTTTAAAGAAATTGAACTGAAATTCGACGCCGCCTCTATTAATTATTGTGAGCTCGCTATTTTCTTTTTCCTATAATTTTAACAATCAGATTTATGAATAACTTAATAAAGAGAGATGCAAAAGTTACATAAAATTGAATTACGTTATTTTATATGAATTATGAATGAACACGTCATTAATTGAATTAATGTAACTTTATAATTAATAAAAAATTTAATTACAGTACGAAACCCAAAAATCAAATTGAACCAAACCGAAACGGTTCCATAATTAAATTTGAATTCGACGATTCCACTTATTAAATATTCGAAAATTTCTTATCCACCGAACCAAACCATGTCCAACCGTATTTGATTTTCCTTTTCAACTCGAACACTAGAGAACTGAGTTCTTTTAGCAATTCTTCTTGCTTGTGCATGACTGTTTAAAACATTCTCGAGAATACGTTTTACTTCTCTTAAGCCCTATTTGATATGGAAAATTTTCCCTCCAACTTTCATTTTCCACTATTTTGATTGTTTGATTGGGAGAATTTTCCATGGACCCCCTCTCTCCCACTTGACCTATTTTCCATGAATTGGTGGAAACCCAATTCCTTTGGTTTTGGTGGGAATTGGGTTTTTCATAACAAATTATACCCCTTTAATTGACAATTTTCATAGAAAACAAAGCCAAATGAATACCAAAAGATCCAAAGTTTCAATATTTTCTATTTAAAAAATTATACCAATCAAACACATTTAACCCTTGTTTGAACCCTTTTTTTTTTTTTGAGAAAATACATTCTGAAACAGTGTTTTGATATCATCTCAACCACACATTCTTCAATAAAATAATATTACACAAAAATCTAAAAAAATTTCTTATTTTTTAACCACACATTTCACATTATTACACATTTCAAAAATGCATTTTCTTTGCAAAAATGGGGCTCAAACAAGGGCTTAATTGACAATTCCCAGTAAAACAAGTTCTAGAAAATTCAATTATCTAAAATTCGTTTTCTTTCCACCCATTCTTGCAATCAAATGGACACTTAAAAGAAATATTGATCAACTCTTGGTCGTCATCATGAAATTAATCCGTGGCCCTCCATCGCGCACGATGGTCACTTGCCATCCATTTTCATAAAATCAGTTGTCAATGTACAACAGGACAAACATGGAACCATCGCCCACGATGGTCACTTGCCATCCATTTTCATAAAATCAGTTGTCAGTGTACAACAGGACAAACATGGAATGATACAAAGAAGATGAACGGCGAATATCTGTGAACTCTTTAGTTATCAAGTTCTAGAAATGGAGTGGGTAGTATGAGAAGGGTAAATGTGTAAGCAAGGAAGAAAAACACAACTATACAACTAGAGGAAACCAAGGCTAATTATTTCCTCGGCTAAGAGGTCAAGATCCACTCTTTACCTCCATCACCTAGAAATATGGTTGAATACATCAAAAAATTGGAAAACAATGTGTAATTTCTAAATTTTTCCTGTTTCCTTTGTGAAAAACGTGACTGGTCCCTAGTGTTATCCTCCCTTCACTAAATTCAGCATTGCAAATAAAGACTCTAGATTAACACCACTGACAACAGAATGGCTGTAGAAAATTTCCCTCCCTCCACTCCGTATCTTCCTAATGAATACAAATAAATATCCCCAATCAATTCATATCTAGATATGTGATTCATCCCAGTCAAGGACCATCCCAAGATATTACCTCAATTTTCCATCAGCGAATGGGAGACAAAATCATCCTTGAATAGCTTCCAGTGATTTTCTGCAAAGATAGCATTGCCAACATCAGATTGACATCAATTTTCAATGCTTCAAATTAGAACCTTTCAGCTCCAGATTTTTCCCAAAAAAAAAATTTGAAAAACATATACGGTGATGATAACTTTGAAAACTATGTAATAGAACAATCAATTATGAAAATGATGACAAATTCTGAAAGATTAACTACTAACAACTAATAACAGGGACATTTAACCCTTCAACTCACTGTGGACACACATGATATTCTGATAAAAGTATGAGATGAAGAGATAGTATATCCAATGGTTCGAAATATAAGCAGGAAACTGACGAGTAAAAACAGAAAATGCTAAAGAATTCTATTTTCTTTACCAGAGCATATTACTGTTACTACTAGTACTCTATCGGACATAATAAGATGCAGCTACAAACTATGGAAGTATTTGCGTGGTTTCTGAACTAGGACATTGGCAAGATTTGCTGAAAAGAAAAATAAAAAGCACCGAGAAGATGCTCACCTTATGCCAACATCATCAGAATCACGTGGAACAACCTCCTCTTCCAGCACCGGCAGCACACAATCACCACAAATGTCTTAATAAAGTAAACCATCACCACAATTAAAAGCTTATATTTTCACAACATCATCTTCAATTTTCAAGCTACTTCCAGAAACAGCATCCCCCCATATAGAACAGAGTTTGTCATTGACATTGCCACTTCTTTGGGAAATAAAGTCCAACAAGCACCTTAATCAAAACAGGTTTCATAACAAAATTCATCATATCCTCTGATGCTCGAACTCGGGTTTAGTTGAATCTATTATTTTCTAAAATGTAGAATATGAAGACATAGTTAAAAAGAGTCTAAATTTCAGACACAGCTACATGGGTACGCCTTTCAAACTTCAATTTTTTTACTAACTCAAGATATCATTTTGAATAAACCAAAATCAATTGTTGACAAAGAAGGAAATGAGTATTGAATAAGAGATTAAGATGAATAAAATAGAATTTTGAAATTTAATTTTCAATTATGGGAAGGTAATTACTAAATGTTACATAAAATAGAAAATGAAGGACTTGAAGTAGAGCACTAAGTAACACTATATGGAGGGAAATAAAAAAGAAAGAAGAAGAGGAAGGGAAAACCTAGTGCCATCGACTTTCTCAATTCTCTCGAAGGCGACACTAGGTTTATAGAGAATAGAAACAGAAAAGAACACGAAAAGAAAGAAAAAAGAAGAGCAAGCAAAAATGGCAAAGTGTCCGGTTGAAATTTGGAGGCTCCGATACATATCCCATAACCATAGACACGACACGATTACTCCGACCATTTCGAATAGTCCGAGCATCAGATATCATATCCCAAGTGCCAAAAAAGCCTTCTATACACCTATGGAATATTTGGTAAAGTTAATTTCCCAGTAATAAATAATATTTAGATAGAACAGAAAGTTACAATTTTTGTCTATTGTGTACTATCTAGTGATGTCCAATAATGTTCATCAAATATGCTCTTAATGCTCAAAGCCTTAAATTAACCAGATATATCTGAAGAGCTCGTGAAATGACTGCAGTCAGATTCTTTCACGCCCGTATTTCTGGCATGTAAAGCCGATAACTAGAGGCAACAGCAATGGCATGTATACAAAATTATTCTCTTGAACTGTACACCTTAATAACACACCCAATTTATACAGGCATGCATACATTCATACAAGTCCTACTAATAACAGGATCCTGCTCAGGAACAGAAGCAACAGAATTACAGATATATGAGAGAAAGAGCACTTTCAAATACCGACGAGCAATTTGAAGGCAGAAGTACATGCAAAAACAATCATACGATGCCTCCCTAAAGATTGAATAACATTAATGTATAAGAAAAACAGAGTTAGGGCCCCAACCTATTAGAGATAGAGAAAATAGAACCTAACTTTCAATATACAGCAACCTGATTCTATACATTCAATTTTGTAGCACACGATCACAAAGGACGCCTTCGCACATTTACGTGTTTGCTTTCATAAGATGATGCATTGATGTTCGTGCCTATCTGCTATAGCAATATAGTGCACAGAGATACTACTAGATATCATGCCTTGAGCAATTGAGCATAAACAAAAAAGCAATTATTGATGCAAAGTCTCCAAGAACGTTTAACATTAATTCCGATCCAACAAGTTCGCCGCATTTTTTAAGGGATTAGAAGAAAAAATAACGCTAGCGTACAATCTCTCGATTATAATTCTCTCTCAAATCAACCGACTCAAAAGACGACACGGAATTGGGGTGCATCCGAGCCACTCGCAGGCAGGATCTCCCAACGGCAGGGCTCTAGCTCGTCCGAAACGGGGCAGTACCCACTCACTGTAACCTTGTCGGCCGAAGCGGCAACTGACCCGAATTCGAAAACCGATAAATCAGCCGAAAGGGCCGCTCGTCGGACCTCCATCGCTCCGTTCATGCCCGGTACCTCGGAGGACACGGATTCGGATTTCGGGCCAGATTTTTCCACCGGAGCATTTTCCTTTTTGTTATTGTTGCTGCCTCCACGGAACCAAGAAAAAATTCCCATGGTGGAGGAGTTGGGTTCTGGCGAGTAGGGGTTTTGACTATCTTCCAATTCTTATCTTGACAGGTTAAATATACAAATGGTCCTTTAAATTGCAACAAAATTTCATGTTGGTTTTTCAAGTTTATTTTATTTCAAATTATCGACTAACGTTTCTCAATAGTTCCAATCTAGTCTCTTATTGTCGAAATTGACATCAAGTCTTTCCTTTTTTGGAAGGGAAAACAACAAATTTCATTAAGCAAAGTCAGTGTGAACAGATTGCGAAATAAAAAATAGATTATAATCAATCCAATAACAACTTAATGAAAAGAAAATAGCATAACAAACAAAATTGTGGGCACTGGATTCCTATGTTTAGGAATATAACGATAAGAACAAAGACTCGTCAAATTGAGTATTGGCATAATATCTAGAAAATAAGAGCATTAGGTGCAAAATATTTCTTCCAAATTACTTGTATTGCATCGCATTCCACCCGTTGGACGTGAAAGCCATTCTCCAGGGCAAAAGTTAGGCCATGATGGAGAACAATTGCTTTAGCAGCCTTCAGGAAAAATCGACCCGTAAACATTCTCAAATAAGCTGGAAGCACCAAACCGTCATGATTCCGCATAATCCCACCAACACTAATGTACCCATATCCATACCGTTGCATGAGTATTTAGCCTCAACTTGTAGGCATAATCAATGACAAACCTGTTATTGGGCTGTGATGCCAAAATTACCTTTTGAGTGTCCAGTCCATTTGGGACAATGATGATATAAGGTCCAACAGATACTACACAACCCATTGCCCAATAAATCAATGTTTAACTAGCTGAAACCCGGCCCAAACCAATTAAACTATGCAAGTCGCTTTGGACCGTTTGATCAACTTAACCTAAAATCTACGGTGGCTACCCATAATATATAAACGAGGGTTGAGACTCGTTTGGCCCTAATTCGAGTCATATTCTCTCTGCCTTTTTGTGATTTTTCTCTCGAACCTTCTGGGTCTCTCTCTTCGTGACTGTGTGTTTTCTGCTTCTTCTCCTTCTCTGTAAATCTTGAGATTATGCCATTAAACTACTGGTTTTGTGGCCTCTATGTGTTCCTACAGTCCGTGTGACTGTTCGGTTGAGCTTTGTTGGGAGTTCTCAGTTAGGTCTTGAGTGTTCTTTGTCCACTGAAGTGATTGCCTCTGTGTTTTGTGGTTTGAGACTGTGGTTTATGAGTTTTACATTGTACAGACGGGTACAATGCTAAGATCTGAGCCCTAATCGATGAAATCTTAATGCCTTTGTGTCTGAGAGTTTTCTGTCTTTGTTGAGTCGATTTGGGTATTTTCTTGTAACAGTGGTATCAGAGCCGTTTAGGCCGTTCGAGTCCCTGTCTCCGACTACCGATCGTGGAAAAATAATTTTCACGGCCAGATTTTTTGGAAGACGAACAGTCAGCTGAAACCCTAGATCTGTTCAGCTACGGATCTTGATTCTGTTTGAGGTTTCTTGCATTTTTTGTTATGAACTAACACTGTTTGGTTGATTCCTGCAGAAAATATTGATTTCGAATTCACCTGTGTGAACTGGCTTGAAAGATATTAAGCTTCCTGCGTGAACTTCATTTGCCGGTCGATTTCTCTTAACTCATTTAAATTTTTTCTTAACTGAAATACATGATTTATTGCTTAATGTAAAAAATTTGTGTATTTCTTAAAGATGTTGGCATTCTGAAATTTCTTGAATATTGCATATATGCTTTGAGTTAAAGTGTTCTGCAAGTGTTTAATCTTTGTGATTAAATTCTAATTTCAGTATATAGTCTGTTGGTTAATCTGTGTGATTAATTCTTGATCCCTGTATACTGCAAGTTAATCTTTGTGATTATTAATTGACAATTTTTTGTCTTAAACCCTGTACACTTTGCACTGCACTACTGTGTACTTCGGGTTGAGCCTTGACCTGAGGTCTTTGAGCCTCAAGAAATCCTGGTTAACCCAAGACACATCACTGCATACTGAAGTGGCCCTTATTCCTCTGATTGGTTACTGTTAAATATTCACTGTGTTATATCCCCTGATATTTTTCCATATTTTGTGTGATACTTTGTGATTGTCATACATTCTGTGGAATATCTTCCTGTTACTTTTTTTTTGTTTTGATCTTTAACCCTAAAAATTTCTTTTTAATATTAATTAAAAACTTCCAATGACAACTGGAACTTTTGAACTTGGAGTTTTTAATGGAAAATGGGATTTCCCCATTTGGCAACAAAAGATGAGAGGGGTTCTTGTTCAACAGAAAGTATCTAAAGCTATAACTGGTGAATATCCTGCTACTATGACTGATGATCAAAAGACTGAATCTGATGAACTTGCCTATACTTCCATTATACTTCACTTGTCTGATCCAGTATTAAGAAAGGTTGGAAAATTGGATAATGCAAAAGCCTTATGGGATAAACTTGAGGAACTTTATTTGATAAAATCATTACCAAATAAACTTTTTCTGTTGGAAAAATTTTTTAGCTTCAAAATTGATATGTCCCGAGACTTAGATGATAATCTTGACACTTTTAATAGACTTGTACAAGATATAACTAATGCTGGGGATAAAGTATCTGAAGAATATAAGGCTGTAATTTTGTTAAATTCCATACCTGATGCGTATAAAGATGTTAAGACAGCTATTAAGTATGGTAGAGAGTCTTTAACACCTGAGATAGTAATTGATGCTTTAAGAAGCAAGGATTTGGAAGTTAGATGTGAGAGACATGGCAAGGAAAGTGAACCTATTTGTAAGAGGTAGATCACTGTCTAGATCTAGTAATAATCAGGGTAACCAAAATAATCAGGAAAATAATACCTTTAGAAAGAAGGGAAAGGGTAGACAAAGGTCAAAGTCTAGAAATGGTGCTAGAAAATGTTATGGTTGTGGTAAAACAGGGCATTACATCAAAGACTGCTTTAAAAAGAAAAATGAGCAAAGAGAGGTTAAAATTGATGAAGGAAACTTTGTTGAGCCTCTAGGTGAGGATACTGTTGATGTTTATGTTGTGACTGATTCCACATCTGATTTAAACTCTGCCAATTATGCAGATAATTCAAGTCAGAGTGTAGAATGGATCTTAGATTCAAGTTGTACCTTTCATATGACCTCTAGAAAGCATTGGTTGCTTGACTTTAAGAACTTAGATGGAGGTGAGGTTGTTATGGGTAACAATGCAGCCTGTAAAGTGTTGGGGATAGGCAGTGTGACTTTAAAATTTGATAATGGGTACACCTTTACCTTAGAAAGGGTAAGGTATGTACCAGATTTAAATAGAAATTTGATTTCAGTTGGGAACTTAGATGACATAGGTCTCCAAGGAAAATTTGTAGATGATTTCTTGAAAATAGTTAAAGGATCCTTAGTTATTTTCAAAGGTATTAAAAGAAATGGAATTTATGTCACTATGTGTGGTTGGTAATGATTCATGCGAAGACGGTGAAGAAGAGGGTCTTAGAGAAGCAAGTGAAGGTGGCAGTCTTTTGTGAATTCTAGTTTTTGAAAGTTTGATGTAGATACACAGAGACATAGGGAGAGTGGATTGGCTGAAAGTGAAGAAGAGACCATGGCCGCCATTGAAGATTGTTTCAGAAAATGAAAGTCGAAGATCTTTTGAGTGAGTTGAAAAGAAATGTACAAATTTGAAATGTTAGCCAACTCGTTCGAGGCTAAGCTCATCTCACGAGAGTGAACTTCGATTGATTCAAGCTCGAGCTCGACTGAATTCATGCTTGAGCGTTCATTGGCGTCAGTTGGCTCATACCATTACTATAGCTAGTTGTGATAAGAACATCAAATTCATGTTATTAGTAAAGTGGGAAGGACGGGTGTTACAAGAAAATACCCAAATCGACTCAACAAAGACAGAAAACTCTCAGACACAAAGGCATCAAGATTTCATCGATTAGGGCTCGGATCTTAGCATTGTACCCGTCTGTACAATGTAAAACTCATAAACCACAGTCCCAAACCACAAAACACAGAGGCAGTCACTTCAATGGACCAAGAACACTCAAGACCTAACTGAGAACTCCCAACAAAGCTCAATCGAACAGTCACACAGACTGTAGGAATGCACAGAGGCCACAAAACCAGTAGTTTAATGGCATAATCTCAAGATTTATAGAGAAGGAGAAGAAGCAGAAGACACACAATCACGAAGAGAGAGATCCAGAAGGTTCGAGAGAAAAATCACAAAGACGTAGAGAGAATATGACTCAAATTAGGGCCAAACGAGTCTCAACCCTCGTTTATATATTATGGGTAGCCACCGTAGATTTTAGGTTAAGTTGATCAAACGGTCCAGAGCGACTTGCATAGTTTAATTGGTTTGGGCCGGGTTTCAGTTGGTTAAACATTGATTTATTGGGCAATGGGCTGGGTAGTATCTGTTGGACCTTATATCATCATTGCCCCAAATGGGCTGGACACTCAAAAGGTAATTTTGGCATCACAGCCCAATAAATCTCCCCCTTGATGCCAATGATCCAAACTCACACAAGAAAAAAAATATAACAAAAAACTTTAAAGCAGTTGATATAATTTTTCCAGATCACCAGCACCAAGTCAAATAAAACCTGCATAAACACAAAGTTTACCCAGTATCAATTCTTAAGAGTTGCAAACATGACTTAAACTTATTTAGAGGAAGTACCTTAGTACCCATATCAGCTGGGTTAAACTGGGAAGGGATTTTCTCAAGCAAGATAGATTCTTTTTCTACAATATTTCTAATAAAATGCATTCTCACATCTATATGTTTAGTTCTTTCATGAAAGACTGGATTTTTACATAAATGTATGGCACTTTGACTATCAGAGTAAACAACAACAGGTTCAACAAATTCATTTACCTTACTTAGAAGACCTTTCAGCCATAAGGCCTCTTTGATGGCCTCAGTTGCAGCTACATATTCTGCCTCAGTAGTTGATAAGGCTACAATTGATTGCAATTGAGACTTCCAACTTATACATGTATCACGAAAAGTAAACACATAGGCAGTAGTTGATTTTCTG